AAAATTTATTAATTTTAATTTATTATTAATTTTAATTTATTATTAAAATTCACAGTATGACAAACATAATTAAGCTTTATTCATGAATAATTCAAGTAAATAGGACACTTGATTTATATTACTTATTTTTTTAAAAAATAAAGGAAAATAATTTTTGCATGCTTGAAGAACTGTTTTATAATGTGTGCTTCCTATAAACATCCATTTACAAAAGCTTGGGTATTCTATTTGACATATCTATTTGTAGTTATATTTAATTCATCTATTATGATACTGATTAATTTATGAAATAAATGAACATTTTCCTAAGGAAATAAGCAAAATATTTCTGTTCACGGCAGAAGTGTATAACCCATGAATCAAGGGCCACATATGATCATAAAACTTTTGCCTTGGAAACCCTCAAAAGTTGCTGCTGAATTTCAGTAATGAGCAATGTATCTTTACTTAATCTTCAGTGATCTCCTTGCCCTCCATAACATCACCCATCCTATTAATTAGCTTTCCCTACCTCTGATGGCATTTTTCAGTGGCTAGAGAGACTGCCATAAGGAAGTTTATAATTTTTTATCTAACTGATTTTTATCTAAACCAATGATTTTTCCTCCAATGAAGTTGCAATAGCTTTGTTAAGTACTAAATTTTTGTAGTATGCCTTCATAAGATGAGATATAAAATTGTCTTTTCTAAGGTTAACCAAGAAAGCCTTTTTTTTTTCTTACATCAGGAGCAAACAGATTAAAAGAAACATAAACACCGAATAAGAAATTTAAGAAGTTAAATAATTTTTTCATCCATTGATATCCCAGAACAAACCTAAGAAATGAGGCAAGTGGTGAAATATAAGAACCATACTGTAGCTTAGTAAAGGGAGGGACAGATCATTAAGATTAGTTTCTTCATATCTCTGCCAATGCTTATGCAGTGAATTTTGGACCAATTACTCTTTGTCAGCCTGAATTATATTAAGGATTAATTGTGTGGATTTAAAAAACAAAACAAAAGCACTATACCTGAAAGAAAATGGAATTTTAGGTTTATTCCTATCTTAGTTTTGATGAAACTGATCATTGAGGGATTTTCTGCCAGCCACTTTTATAAACTAACAATATTTTTGTGATGAAAATAATTCCATAAATGCCTTCCTAATTGCTCAAATGATTCATTTTTAATTTATTTTTCTATTTTAGGATGTCATACAAAATAAATAACACAAAGAAACTTTCAACGTCAGAGGAAAACTTTTTATAAGTTTATTTGGAAATAAAAGTCCATTGCAGCCTGAAAGGCACAGGAAGAAAACTGTTATTAATTTTTGTCTAAAACTAACTTTTATGTGTTTGTGTTCTGTGTTTTGTGTTCATATCTCAGAGGGCTGTTAATTTATAGCATTAATAACATAAATTTATCTTTTCTCCCTTGAACATGTAACCTTAGTGGAATGATTTTATTTTATGTAAATTCAGCCATTAATTTGATTAATATGTATCAACATTTCCCTAAAAAGAAAAGTAATTAACTTGGCTTTTTTCTTAATTTTATTTTTTTTAGCAGAATTATGCAAATAAAGAGTTGGAAGAGCAGCTGCGGTCAGTATCAAGTGTGGATGAACTCATGACTGTTCTTTATCCAGAATATTGGAAAATGTTCAAGTGCCAGTTGAGAAAAGGGAGTTGGCCACACAGTAGGGAACAATCGAACTTTGATGGAAGATCAGGGGATTCAAATCCAATAAAATTTGCTGCAGCACATTATAATACAGAGATCTTAAAAAGTAAGTAATGTAATGTCTACCAAGTATTTTAAATCTATATATAAGAATATATGTGTTCTTTCAAATATGTTTTAAATTCTAAGCACTGGGGGGGGGAGATATATTAATATACGATTTAACATGCTCCAGAACAGCAAGTCTGCCTTAATGCTTTAAATGCTAATAAGTTTTTGAACTTCATTTACTATGATAAAAGAGGTATATTATGAATGTCAAACATAATCTTCTATAGGTCAAGAATAATCAAGGTAGGTAAGGACAAGAAAGATAGGTATAGAGCATCTAAGCTAGGACAAATAGAGTCAGAACTAAAAAGAAGGGTATCCCAATTTCTTTTGTAAGCAATTGACAGATTGTATAGCTATGAGAAATGGGAAGAATTAAGGGCAGTGTCAACAAGCAATTTCCTTTATTCATGTTTAATAATCTTTGATCCAAGAGATTTAACAGCTCCAGTTTCTAGTGAAGCTACCAAAAGGAACAAATTAGGAATTGCATACAAAGTTTATGGGGACACCCCCTGATTTGGAGATAGACTAGTTTTAGGCTTGCAAAAAGTAACAAATAAGAAATGTTTATCTGAAAATAAGTATGTCCCTAGTTACTTTCATTGTGGTCCTGTTTGTGTTAACTTGTTCAATTTGGGTTGGGTTTTTGTTTTTTCTGTTTTCCTATTTTCAGTCTCTGTGCAAGTACATTTACATGGGGTTTTACACTTCTGCAGAACACTATTTGGAAACTTTCTAGAGCTCAAGCTGAGGAGATATGGTCAGTGCCCAACTTGGCTTCCTTCATACTTGCCTTGAAAAACAGTATGTACCTTCCCATTTAGATTTGGTTGACACCATGGAAAATATTATTTGGGAAAATTCTACATTAATGAATTTAGGATTTGTCCTCCTGATATTTTCTTTCAGATAAGAGTTTTACTTATCTAGTACTTTTACTTCTTTATTCCAGTTTTTGTTAGATAATGTAATTGCATTTTTTATATTTGCACTTTAAAAAATGTATTCAAAAAGCAAACTCACAGTAATCACTGATCTTCTCTGTGTGCTTTCTACGAGCAATTTTAGAAATCACAGAAATTAAAACCACTAAGATTTCTTCCTACGTGAAAACAGCACTTTTCCATTATCTCAGTTGGTCTATCTAAAATAGGTTTCACAAACTATTCCTAGGCTTCATTATTTAAAAAGCTGTGGCCTGCCAAAACACCTAAGGATAAAGTTTGAAAAAAAAATTAAGTTCAAAGTAGTAAATACTTGCTTTACTTAGTAGCATACTATATCTTGTCAATGAAAAAAGATCATGATGATGATAGTAGCATCATCTCCTGGCTCAGCAGCAGTCTCTACTATTCCAAGCTCAATGCTGCTGAAACTCATAAGATATCTGATAATCCTACTGAAATTCCTATATGGAACCCACTCTCTTAACTTCATTTCTTCAGGGTTTTTTTTTTAAATGTTTAATCAAAAAGATAAAAGAAGTTCCAGTTTCTCATAAAGAAAATTGAGGATCTAAGATACATGCGTTATATAATATGGAAAGCAAATATTGCTTTAGTATTAATTATGTTTGCTGGAACAATGTTTTAATTTGATTCAAATTTTGATCAGCATGGTTAACTTAGTAGTATCAATCTTTTTTTCCTGTCAGTATCAAACCCAACAGCCTCCCTGCATTGACCTTTCATTTCCTTCCTTCCTCTCTCCCTCCCTCCTTCCTTCCCTCCCTCCCTCTCTACAACACAAAGTATAATTCAGTTAGCTTAATTCAGATATGTCAGTTACATCTTTAGGATCAGTATCATAGTAATATTTTATCTCCTGGAAATATAAGACTCTACTTGGAGCAACTTCCTAACTCTCATGATATGAACTAAAACAATTGGATAGTGTGAACCTAGTTATCAATACAGCTGGGTCACAATGGAATAAATACCCTCAAGGTATTGCAAGAATACCCAAAGCAGTTTACAAAACAAAGTATAACAAAACTTATGTAAACAGAATCAAAATAGAATTATTAAGTTAAAGGAAAAGAGATTTAAAACCTTCAGTCTCATTTTTTTTTCCTGTCTTCCTAAAAGTCTCAAGGGATAACTCTTAATTTCATAAGTAGGTTGCTTCCACCAAAACACACACACACACACACAATTCCCTACTAAACAAATATCTTTTTGGTGATAATGCACCCAACCTGTATGGTAGAAAACAGTTTTCAAATAGTCTGGCTTTAAAGTATGTTGGGTTTGATAGATAAATATCAACACCTTAATAAAGCCTGGAACAAATAGTAATGCAAAATATTATCTGCACATTTATTTAAACCAATGATCAAGTTGGGCAGCAATTTGGGAAAAGTAGATTAAATATAGTCATTCAGAACTTATATCTACATTAGCATTTGGCTCGTAGTTTGTCAACTTAACTTTCAGTCTCCCAAATGTGTGCCTGCACAGAGACTATGAAGAAGAAAAACAGGTTGCTTACCTGTAAGTGAAATTCTTCAGATGATCATCTGTGAAGTCACATAGTTCATCCTCCTTCCCCACTTCAGGTATCTCCTTTCTTCCTTTCTCATAAGATCCATGAAGGAGCTGAGTAGGAAATACACATACTGTCTTTGCAAAAAAAAATTATATCCCTTTGAGATTAATGGCATGAGTACCAGTTTTGGTTTGAGTTCTAGAAAGTTGCAGAATGCTGCTCTGCACAGGCATAATCCTCATATATGTAACTACATATATGATGATTCGAAGAATATCTGTTAAAGGTAAGCAACATCTATTTTCTCATCTGAAATTGTAACTTCAACTATTTTGAAACTCCATTAAGGAGTAATTTAATTACAGGTAGTCCTCGACTTATAACCATTCATTCAGCAACCATTCAAAGTTATGATGGTGCTGAAAGCAGGGACTTACAACTGGTCCCCAAAGTTACAGCCATTGCAGAGTCCCTGAAGTCACATGATCAAAATTTGGGTGGTTGGCAGCCTGCCCACATTTATGACCACAGGGGTGCTTCAACTCCTCCCACCCACTTATCTCTCCACCATCTATACCCTTTTGGCCCTGTGCACTCTGTGGCACTTGCTGCCCTAGCTGACCTTTGCCATATTCTTGCTCCCACTGCTGACAAGATTTTCTTCCCAAGGTCGCACATGGCAGTTTTCCTTGTGAGACTTGGGGAAGATGGCCTCATGTGACCAGCAGCTGCCTCATGAAGGCCCAGGGCAGGCATGCCTCATCAGCAGCGGGAGCAAGAAGACGGCGAAGGTCAGCTATAGTGGCAGAACACAGGGCGACAGGGACCTCAGAGTGCAGGGTGGCAAGAGTGACAGTGGCTTCCCAGGGTGCAGCGGCTTTGCACCACACTGCTGGGCTGGGGCTGGGCTTTGTGCACGCAAAGGGGCTTTCTGGCATGCCACAGCTCTGGGGCTTTTTGCTTTTTAGAGCCACAGCATGCCAGGAAGGCCCTTTGTGCTGGGTGAAACCCAGCCTCAGCTCTACCTGGCAGCACAGTGCAAAGGGGCTTCCTGGTGTGCCACAGCTCTGGGCCTGCAAAAAGCTTGCAACTCCAGAGCCACAGTGTGCCAAGAAGCCCCTGAGATGGAGTGCATTCTTTCCCTGGCCTTCCTGAGTTTGCGCTGGATCACTGCACCCCCTCCCTGAACTCATGTGTGGCCTGCATTGGCCTTCCTAGGCCTCACCCCTCACCGCCATGGCATCTCCCAGGCTCCTTACCTGGAACTTCTGCCTCTTCCTGTTTAACAACCCATGTGTTAAGTTACTACAGAAACGGGACTGCTCGGGATTGCTGTTGCTAAGCTATGTGATCATGTGACATCACACTTTACAACCGCATCACTTAGCAACAGAAATTCCAGTCCCAATTGTGGTCATAAGTCGAGGACTACTTGTATAATGTAAATGTGTCACACAATAAAACATTTACAGTAGTTGGCCATTCCAGATCAATTTGTGAATCCTCACTGCTAAGCTCCAATGAATGCATGCCTCTCTCTCATATCTACTTTTAGGTACTTTTAGGTTTCTGGCTTTCCCAGACGTATATCTATTTTCTTTGTTAAGCCATATTTAATTCACTCAAATGGTGCTAAACCTCAAGGCTTCAGTCTAGGGTCCTGCAGCTCTGGACAACCATTCATATGGTCCAGGTTCTAAAATTAGCTGGTGTATAAAGCAGTCTATCCGAATGCTTTATCTTTCTTAGAACACCACATGGTAACTTCACTTAAAGAATATTCTGTCCCGCTTATGGGAGATTTACATCGTTGACCCAAAAGTGCCATTTGGGAATTGTTATGAGCAGAAACTTGCATTTTTAATTTAATGGATATAAATAATTAGATGAAACCCAGACTCTGTCCTGCAGATACTGTCACTGGAATCTTCCTTAATTTGTTCCATTGTTTGAAATAGATCTACTTAAATAGGACTAAGTCCGGATTTCACCATGAATTAGTATATAATCAAAGATTAACTATTTTAGTTCAGTCTGATTTCAATGATTAAAAAAAAAAACTATTTTATAAACTGTAAGCTTCTAACTTGGCAGGTATTGATAATGAGTGGAGAAAAACTCAATGCATGCCACGTGAGGTATGTGTAGATGTGGGAAAAGAATCTGGAGCAACAACAAACATCTTCTTTAAACCTCCATGTGTGTCCATCTACAGATGTGGAGGTTGCTGCAATAGTGAAGGGCTGCAGTGTATGAATGTCAGTACAAGCTACGTCAGCAAAACGGTAGGTTGTTTCCACTGCGTATTATTTAGATCCCTATTGTTACTTGGATACATTTTAAAGTAAATGCAATATCATTATAAAATATAATACAAATAAAGTTGCTCTGGAACACAAATTGCATTGTATTAACAGAACAGTAGGCCATAATCAGCTGCATAAATGGTAGAACTGGGAAAATATAAATAAGTATAGCATTTGAAAGGATAGGATGGGCATCCTGTGGCCCTGGAGTCTCATTGAGCTTCTGAACTCATTTTTGTGGCTCTAGAGCTTAGCAGGGATCAATTACTGACAGTATAATTGCTGTTTAAATCCTAGGATTGATTTAACATCTTTTTTAATAGAACACACAAACAAAAATACCCCATTAGTGATGGGTGGGGGAGAAATAATGTTCCCTCCCATTGTATTAATATCTTGATGGCTCTGTGGCCATTATTTCCCCCTCCCAAAAGAAAAAAAGAAAAATAAATCAAGTGTTACCTCCTGCCACCAGAAGCTTGGTCATTTAGCACATGTATGATTTTAGAAAGTGTTTGAGTTAGGACATATATATAGTGTTTCACAAACAATGCCAGAAGGGTTTTAGTGGGTCCCATAGCATCTCATCTCCCTCTGTGTCATAAAGAAGCTGGACGAAAAACATCAAGATGCAGGTCTTTTGATCTGATCAGCAGAGCTCTTTTGGGGGTTCTTACCCAGCAAGGACCTAGAGGAGCTTAATGCAAACTGCTTGTATACTCCTCACTGCATTGTTTTTGAACAGTGGTGGTAAGTCTAGTTAGTATAGAACACTATTTACTTTACAGAAAGATAAAGGATCCCTGATGGTTTTACTGAATTGAGTGACTTACAGATACTTTGACCAAATTTTCCATAACTATCCTGAATGCCAGGAAAAGTCTACCAAGCATGATGTCCTACTCTGGCTGTTGTTCAAATGGTTTATTGTTTTGTTAGACTTAACCAATGAAGTACATGCTAAATATTTTAAATATATTCAATATATTGACAAGAATAACAATATTAAACCAGTAACCAATAAAAGTACCTCCACTTAACTCTCCAAATATTGCCACAAATCACTGCTTCAGTATAATTAATATTCTATGCAAGTCAGTATATCAGAAACTTCAGTAAATTCAAGCAGATCTTTAATTATCTTTAATTTTATTAGACCCATTTCAGTCTTAATTATACCACAGTGATTATTAGAAAAAAAGAACGAAAAACTAAGAATTTTCAAATTCAGATAAACATTCACATACCATGTAATACATGAGGGACAGTGACCCTGAACTCAGCATGTGGCATTTTGCCTGCTGAGATGTTCATATTTTTTGCATCATTCAATTCATTATAAAGGCAATTCTTTTTCCATGGTTTCGATCAGACTGTGGGGAAAACATTTCTCAAAATAGTTTTAAAAGACATTGTAAGTCACTTTCTCAGAGTTTTAAATGTCTTGTAGTGTTTGATGTATACTTTATGTTCACCCACAGAGTTTGGAAATATATGCATTAGTGGAATGCTTGAAGTCATTTTTGAAATATGGAACTATTTTTCCCAAGCATTTTTGTTCATTTGATACAACAACATTGATGATTTAGTAAATGTTATCACCAATGGCATGCATATTAAATATTTCCTTTTATAGCATTTTTATTTCTTTCCATATTTTATGATCCCTTTTGATTTCATTGACAGAAAGCAGGAGAATATAGTAGCGGAACTTAGTTGATTCTGTCATAATTTCAGTTTAGGTCTGTCATCTCTGTCATATATACTCACAATTCTATTTAAAAAAAAATCCAAAAATTATATATTTTTTTCTCTTTCACTTAAGTATTATCATTGATCACAGGCTTAAGTCTTTCCCATACATAGATTTAGTAGAAGATGTATATTAAACTGTTATTTTCTTATATTTGGAATTAACAGGAACCTTTTAAATAATGTATATTAATCTGCACAAATTTAATATTAAGGTACTTTATATTAGGGTAATTCAAAACAAAGGATTTTTACTTTTAAGATCACTTTAAGAAGATATAAGGAATGTGTAAGAAACAGTGCAGTTCAAAAATATATAAATAATAAATACATCAGTATGTTGATCTGGATAGTAATATATTAAAATAGCCTTTTCCTTTTAGTAACAAGATCCCTGATATAGTGAATTACATAGAACAATTAATTTCATTCTGTTGCTGTCTCAGTCATGTAAACAGTTTACTGCACCACCTGTTAATTTACCTGGAATGTATTATTGTCTGCAGGCAGTGTTTGAGATATTGGTACCTACGTTCATGCTTGCTTTCCTGTACTCTAGCTCAGTTGATTCTGTATGTTTTGATTGGCTTAGTCTTTTTCAGTGGCTTCCAGTGATTTCCTGGAAACTGTGTGGAAGACAGAGATGTAGAAATGTCCTTTTTGTTTAAGTATAATTTGAGTTGCACAAGATTCCTACACTAATCACAGTCCTTCAGATGTGCTGTTGTTGAATCTTCAAGCAAATACAGGATTTGTCTTTTGTTACTGTTTACTTTCTTTTGTCATAAATAATTTAGTCATGCAAAAAAAAAACAGCAGTCTTTCTGTCAGGATGCACCATTCTGTAGCTCCTGGAATTCCATTTCTCCCTACAGCAGACAGCATTACATCATAACATCTCCTTCAGAAGGCTTTCTCCCTCTTTAGACTTATTGTGATTCTACAAACCTCAGAATTTCCTTAAGCATACTGATCTCTACCTCATGAGGAGGCAATGCCAGATTATCAGATGGAGAATATTTTCATTGTTGTACAGATAATAAGAAGGCAGGAAGGCATATATAAAGCACTCATTCCACAGAAACATATATAACTAGAAATTAGAGATCATACTATGATTTAGGTATCAGAGCATTTATTTATCACTAAACTATTCTGACATGATTTGGAGAATAATCTAGGCAAGGCAGGTAGCTTTATTACAGCATATTATATCAGGAAAGAGTACCTTTAGTTTTTAAAACTTTGCCCATGTTTTACTACTTACCAAACAAAGAAAGGAAATATATATCTAAGTATTGTATGTAACAATACACCCACAATCTGTTGTATTTAAATAGCCACCTTTATTTATCTGCTCGATTTGGATCTTGTTTTCTTTTTACAACTTTGGAATGATTTACATGCAGCTTCCCCACAATGTTTTATTTAGGCACTGACTCATATGCTAAACTATCAGTGATGTAATAGTACTGGGTGCTTTAAGATTAATCTAATTCGTTAAATTTCAAATGCCTTAAAACACTCTGCCTCTAGAATTATGTCTTATATACTCCTTGCTGGTATTTCATGTCAATGAACTGTATTACTTAATCAGGCATTTGATGGGTGATTTTTATAGTAATAACATTCTTTACCAAGAGCATAAACCTTTACCCTGATTTGGGAGTCAGGAACAGTATGTCAAAATAACTGATTTACAGACTACTGGCTACTAAGGACATTAATCTGAAAGCATTCTCTCTGTCTGTCTCTGTCTCTCTCTCACCACACACACACACACATTATTCAGCTTAATATTTGTATATATGAAATACAGATATTGTATTTGTATGTGTGTTTGGTAGCTTTTGCTGGAATTTAAATGTTTTATTCTTTATCAAGTGATAGTTTACATGTATGAATGAGCTGTCATAGATAGGTTTTTATGATCAATTCCAGCACAAAACCTTTCAGTTGTAGTCAGTTTACATATTCATCTGTCAGGCATTTTTTTTTTCTATCCGTTCAATAGTGTCTGATTCTCAGAGACTGCCTGAACAAGTCCCTGCAGTTTTCTTGGCAAGGTTTTTCAGAAGTGGTTTGCCATTGCCTGCTTCCTATTGCTGAGAGAAAATGACTGGCCCAAGGTCCCCCAGCTGGCTTTGTGCCTAAGGCAGGATTAGAACTCCCAGTCTCCCGGTTTCTAGCTGATGCCTTTAACAACTACACCAAACTGGCTCTCAGGCATTACAAGCACAATAATTATCCATGGTAATGAAATAATAGCATTTTTCACATGAGTATTGTATCTTATGACTGCTACAAGACACGTCTTCATCAGTTGCACAGACCTGCTGTAAATTAGCATTGACTGACATATTGGCTGCTCTGGAACCTCTCATAACCAGCACCTTCTTTTCCATTTCCTGCATCACATTAGATAGTACAGGCATTCCAATGCCTTTTTTTCTGTGCTTCCTTTTTTCAATGGGGGACATCAACTACCTGCCGTAACCCATGCTCACGTGTCATCATTAGATGTAGTATTGATCTCCTGAAAGTCTTTTCTGATCTGCAAAGGATCAGGACAATGTAAAGAATACACAGAATGGGTTTATGGTGTGTTAATACCTTGCAAATGAAATAGGTCGCAGTGTGGCATAACTCAATGTATGAACTAGCTCTACATTTTCCAGCAATACATTTAAAATATTAGACATATCTACATAAACATCAATATAAATACAGCCATCTAATGTCAACCTACAGATACTAGAAAGTGGCTATGCCATTGAAAGTTCTGCTTTCATTGAGGCCCCATTTATTTTATAGGAGAAACTAAAGAAAGGTTTTCCTGCCTCTCTTCCAGATAGCTGTGTTGAGGAAAGGGAACAGTTGTGACATGCATAGCACTCATATTTCTAAGTCAGAGATGGGCAATAATGTATTTGAAAGGAACTGTGTTGACTGATGCAAGCTGGTAGAAGTATTGCTTTACAATAGAAATGAACTTTGAACAGATATATATTTCATCATGTGCCAATTATCAGACCTAATGTAAGAAAGATGGCTGATAATATGCTAGACAGATCACACCTCATTCTCTATTAACAATTTTATCTGTAGTATATTTTCATCGTAGTTATGTATGGAACACACAATATTCCACATCCACTATGCATTTGTCAGTGTTGCTCCCCAAAATTATTTCAATGTATATGCAGGTTCTTTTTTTCCAGTCAGGCTGAGTTGTCTTGAGCCCGAACTGGATAAAGGAATAGAACTTATACTCCTAACGCATTGCATCTTTTTGAATCTAATAGCTAATGATATTTTAAGTTCAAAGCATATCTGATAAATTCTACTTCATTTATTTATTTATCTAGAAATACTGATCACCTCATTTTTAGATACTTGTTGCATGAATAAAAATAAAAATGTGAGGACTAAATGTATTAATCATTGATCATGTACCTACTATTTATATGAAACCATCTTTTGGGGGCTCTGTTGATAAGACTATGCCTCTTTGTTATAAAGTGTTTATAAAGAAATTTTATAAATACTTTAAATAAGCACATTCATGTACAGTACGTCAGTTAACACTAAAGTATTTCTGCCCATTTTCAAAGCCTGTAATCACTCACAGTCTTGTGTTATCTTGACCATGGAATGTATACCTCTGATTCAGAATGCACTGAGTTAACTGCTAAGAAGAAAAAAGTTTGGTTGTGGGGGAGGGGAAGAGATTTTAACTGATGAAGACATTTAGCTTTGAACATTTTAATTCATGAAAAAGCTCTGTGAAGGAAAAAAAAGAGGATAATAACACATAACTAGTATAGTCTTGACTTATTTTTTTTTCTTTTTTCTTTTTCTTCTGCTCTTTGTAGTTGTTTGAAATAACTGTGCCCCTCTCTCATGGTCCCAAACCTGTAACCATCAGTTTTGCCAATCACACTTCCTGCCGATGCATGTCCAAACTAGATGTCTACAGACAAGTTCATTCAATTATTCGACGCTCCTTGCCAGTGATACAAGCACAGTAAGAAATTGCATATTTCTTCCTACATTGCTAAAAAAAACCCTCTAAAATCAGTTTAAACTTATTGTGTGTTGAAGACTAAGGACCAAGATGTATAAATATGTGTTCTGCTTTAAAATAAACTGGGTCCCATAACCTAGTAAGTATTATTGAAGTTTTTGTTGTCTTGGAAAATACCATTTTCAATGGAACGTACTGATATAAATATAATAAAAAATGTTATTTGTCTTCTGAAACATCTGTGTTCCATGTATAGTACCACTTGTCTTAAATTTGCTTTGAAATACATCAATATGTTTTACCCTTAGGTGTCAAATAACAAATAAAACTTGTCCAAAAAGTCATATTTGGAATAATCACTTATGCAGATGTCTGGCACAACATGACTTCAGTTTCTCCTCCTATCCTCCAGATACTGGTAAGCAAATATGGGTCAGAAGATTACTGTCACTTATTTAGTTTCATTTATAGAAAAGAAAAGAAAATGCACCCAAGATCTTTTTATTCCTTTATAGTGTTCAACTTATAGAATATGGCATAATTTATTCATATTCATACAACTCCATACAATTGTGTAGTTACAAGTGCAATGATATAGAAATGAATAGGATGTAATTCACTAGTTGTAAAATTAGAAGATGTGCGTTCTACTCTTTTGCAATGCCTGAAGCATATTATTTTTATTTCAAATGCTTAGATACTGCTGAAGGATACCATGATATCTGTGGGTCTAATAAGGAACTTGATGAAGAAACCTGTCAGTGTGTCTGCAAAGGAGGAGTGAGGCCTTCTAGCTGTGGAATTCACAAAGAACTAGACAGAACATCATGCCAATGTACATGTAAAAATAAACTGCTTCCTAGCTCTTGTGGACTCAACAAAGATTTTGATGAAGAAAAGTGCCAGTGTGTTTGTAAAAGAACATGCCCTAAACATCAACCATTAAATCCTACAAAGTGTATTTGTGAATGCGTAGAATCACCAAACAAATGCTTCTTGAAAGGAAAAAGATTTCATCATCAAACATGCAGGTAAGCAAAATAACTGGAAAAACAACAGATTTTCATAACCTTGGAACTTTCATTAGATATTCTTCTATAGTTTATAAATGACAGTGGGTATAGTTTCTTGTATTTTCTTATATTTCCTAAGCTTGCTACTCTTTTAATTTATGACTGATAACTCATGCTTGAGAGTCAGTTTGGTGTAATGGTTAAGGCATCAGGCTAGAAACTGGGAGAGTGTGAGTTCTTGTCCTGCCTTAGGCACAAAGCCAGCTGAGTGACCATGGGCCAGTCACTTTCTCGCAGCCCTAGGAAGCAAGCAGTGGCAAACCACAAGAAAACTGCAGTCACCAAGAGTCAACACGGACTTAAAGGGACCAAAAAAACAAACAAACCCCTCATGCTAATCATAGTGAAAACCAAGCAAACAGGGTCACTAATCTGGAATGAAACATGTCATATGTAAATGGTGAAACAGAAAATAGATGTTGTGTTCAGTAGTTGTATATGATTAACATGCCTATTATTTGTGAATATTTATGATAATATTGTGAATATTGTACCGAAAGGTGGACTTGGAAGAAAATGTGCATAATAGGATAAATTCTATGTGGATTTTCAATATGATGATATATTTACAATGCATAGCTATTATCAAGCAATATGCAGGTATGGCTGAATCATGCCAGTTGACAAGTATAGTGGAAATTACATACTTGTTAAATAATTAATACCAAAAAATAACTTACCTGAAAATAAGTTTAAAAATGAAGAAAGCTTAAGGGCAGGACAGCAATCCTTATATGGTGCCTGTGGATAGGCTGAAACTGCAGGATAAAAAGCCCTAGCTGAAGCATTAATCTATCATGTTTTATTTTTTTTCCATTTAACCTGACCTTTAATATACACTCCATGATTCTATCTATGCCAGATAGTTTGGTATGTATTTCCAACAGGCATGATGTAACTTGAGATTCAGAATTGTGTATAAAATATAAATTCGTCAAGCTAGTGTGACAGGTTATACAGAAAACTTTGCACAAGATGTGGCAGGCCAGGCCAGGCCAGGCCAGGCCAGGATGATTACAGCTCAAGTGTCTTTCCCATTCTTTGGTGATTTCCTCATAGCTCTGTTGATTTGTTGAAAGCAAATTGGCTCTAATGTAACCTTAATCCTGTTGCAAACATGGAACACCAATGTGTTCTTGCAGAACACAGTTTTCTTTGGTAGGAGGGTCGTATGTCTTGTCTGCCATCATTAAATATTATGAAAATCTTAGCAAACATACCAGCGTTTGTGAATACTAGGACATTTCACATCTAACTCATTTGGGTAGCTCCTGAAGAGTGTCTGCTGCTTCAAGAGTGTTTGCTTTACATACAGTTACTTCTTTTTTTAAAAAAAAAGTACTGCTTGTGAGCTTGACACTGTTTTATATACTTCCATGCTGAGAAAAGTTCCAAACACTGAAGCAAAATGACTTTTTAAAGAAGAGCAACACCTCAGGTCTTGCAGACCCTTTTCCTATAACCTATTAGCATTGTCCAAAAGGTATGGCTATATCTATTTTCGAGAGCTAAAAACACCACCAGAATATTCCATAAACATTTAATGAATCTGATAATTCATGAGAAAATAATAATATAATGTAGTTCCACATGCTGTATCTGTAGTGGGGCCGTGCAGGATTCCAAAAGATTCAGAAGTTCTTCAAATCCCAGCCAAGCCCAGCACCTCCCTGCTATTCATTAATTTTCCAAAGCAATCTTTAAAAAGGTCAGGCTCCTTTCATGAATACAGAGAGGCATTGTGCTTGCACAAGGTCCAAAACAGTTCTTCTGAATTATTTTCCACATATGTATTGTCGAAGGCTTTCACGGCCGGCATACGATGGCTGGTGTGGGTCTTCCGGGCGCGTGTGCGGCTGTTTTGTTGTTTTATTTTTCCTCCTTCTTCTTTGCCC